ATAGCTAGACATCTTTGTTTAGACTTACTTTTTGTAAAGGCTGAAAGGTCTCATCATAAAAGTATTTCGCTGGACATAGTACATTCCTATGGGATTTTACCTAAAGTGATGTGTACAGGGCAGGTTTCCTGTCATTTTTCTTATAATTTGCAGGAAACAGATAACATTACAAAGAACATTTCAAATGTTCCTTAAGGTATCTTGTATTACTGTACCAAGTTTGATACTTATATCATAAAGTGGAATGATATCAGGTATATTTGGTTCTTATCCTCTGGACTAAATCTTGTGAAGAGCAATGATTCTGAATCAGCATAAAAGGTTGTCAACTTGTCACAAGCTCAGTAGTAAAGTTGGAGAAATAGCATAGACCTCTCTCTTGAAACACTGTGACCCTGGCCAACAATACATTTGTGATCAAGTCTACTACTGTGTATGTGTATGTAGTGATTAATAATGATTGAACCAGTGATTCTGCATCTGATAGACTGAGTATTGAGTGATTATGAATGGATGCAGTTGTCCTATATTGACTAGAGCCTACAGCCATAATTGAGAGCTGTAGAACAGAACCCAATGCAATCAGCCAAGCATGAGACATCAGCAAAATGTTGTTTTTGTTGATGTTGCCAAATGTTTTGGGTCCTATCTGAAAGTCTCTCTCTCTCTCTCTCTCTCTCTCTCTCTCTCTCTCTCTCTCTCTCTCTCTCTCTCTCTCTCTCTCGCTCTCTCTCTCTCTCTCTCTCTCTCTCTCTCTCTCGCTCTCTCTCTCTCTCTCTCTCTCTCTCTCATACACACACACAAAATGTTACTTGATTTAAAGTATACATCGTAGCCTACTAAACAGGGAATTCAAGCAAACCCTATGGGAGAGATAAGTAGGAAAAAGTGTTCCTGTAACTTTTATTATCTGAGACCAAACGTGAACTTAAGGATTTGTGAGCATAAGAGCTCCATTCACAACCATGATGACAAATCACCTGTTGCCAGGCATTTCAAAAGCCATAATCATGAACTAAGTGCCTTACATTATATGAGCATTGAATGGTGAAGGTGCTATATAGGGGAGGAGATAGGGATAAATTATTTCTCCAAAGAGAGACATATTGGAAAGGCTGCTTGGGCACTATTGCCCCAGCAGGTCTCAGCAAGGAATGTTTATTTTCTTCTTTTTTGTAGGCTATAAATAGGTAGGCCGAAAATACCCTGCTGACATTTAGGCTTTATTGTGTTTTTGCAAATATATATTTTGTATTTATTTATTTGATTTTCATGTTTCCCCCAACAGCGCCCTTTGTTGGGATCTTTTGATTGGGCCAATACTGACTTTGTGAATCTATCATTATGCCCACCTGTGTGTAGCCTGTATTATTGCCATAACATTGATTGCCATTGTGTCACGTCTACTCCTGCTCCTCCCCTCCGGCGTGCGACGTCGCCGGAATACTAACCACCGGTCCTAGGATTTATCATTACGCACACCTGGCATCCATCATCACGCGCACCTGCAGATCATTATGATTCACACCTGGACTCCATTACCTTCCTCATTACCTCCCCTTCATCTGTCCCTCCCTTACGTCTAGTCCTCAGTTGGTATTGTTCCTGTGTTTATGCTATATCTCCACTGCAACGCTGTCTCGTTTTATGTTTGTTGTTTTATTAAACGTTTCACCTGCACCTGTTTCTCGACTCTTATGCACACTGAAGGGCTCATACCGCAAATGTTAGTGCGGAAATATAAATATATTCATTTAAGTTTATTCACCCGAGTGCGCTCCTATTTTGTTTTTATTTTCTAGAGATACACTATATATACAAAAGTATGTGAAAACCCTTTCAATTGAGTGGATTCAGCTATTTCAGCCACACCCGTTGCTGACAGGTGTATAAAATCGAGCACACAGCCATGCAATCTAAATAAACAAACATTGGCAGTAGAATGGCCTTACTGAAGAGCTCAGTGACTTTCAAAGTGGCACCGTCATAGGATGCCACCTTTCAAACAAGTCAGTTCGTCAAATTTCTGCCCTGCTAGAGCTGCCCTGGTCAACTGTAAGTGCTGCAATTGTGAAGTGGAAACGTCTAGGAGCAACAATGGCTCAATGAAGTGGTAGGCCACACAAGCTCACAGAACGGGACCACCAAGTGCTGAAGCGCGTAAAAATCATTGCAACACTCACTACCAAGTTCCAAACTGCCTCTGGAAGCAACGTCAGCACAAGAACTGTTCGCCGGGAGCTTCATGAAATGGGTTTCCATGGCCGAGCAGCCGCATACAAGCCTATGATCAGCATGTGCAATGCCAAACGTTGGGTGGAGTGGTGGATTCTGGAGCAGTGGAAACGCATTCTCTGGAGTGATGAATCACGCTTCACCATCTGGCAGTCCGACGGACAAATCTGGGTTTGGCGGATGCCATGAGAACGCTGCCTGTCCTCGGTTGCAACACTCACTACCGAGTTCCAAACTGCCTCTGGAAGCAACGTCAGCACAATAACTGTTCGTCGGGAGCTTTATGAAATGGGTTTCCATGGCCGAGCAGCCGCACACAAGCCTAAGATCACCATGCGCAATGCCAAGCATCGGCTGGAGTGGTGTAAAGCTTGCCGCCATTGGACTCTGGAGCGCGTTTTCTGGAGTGATGAATCACGCTTCACGTCTAGGAGCAACAATGGCTCAAGGAAGTGGTAGGCCACACAAGCTCACAGAACGGGACCACCGAGTGCTGAAGCGCGTAAAAATTATTGCAACACTCACTACCAAGTTCCAAACTGCCTCTGGAAGCAACGTCAGCACAAGAACTGTTCGCCGGGAGCTTCATGAAATGGGTTTCCATGGCCGAGCAGACGCACACAAGCCTAAGATCACCATGCGCAATGCCAAGCATCGGCTGGAGTGGTGGACTCTGGAGCAGTGGAAATGCGTTCTCTGGAGTGATGAATCACGCTTCACCATCTGGCAGTCCGACAGACGAATCTGGGTTTGGCAGATGCCAGGTGAACGCTACCTGCCCGAATGCATATTGCCAACTGTAAAGTTTGGTGGAGGAGGAATAATGGTCTGGGGCTGTTTTTATAGAAATCTTAACACTACAGCATACTATGACATTCTAGACGATTCTGTGCTTCCAACTTTGTGGCAACAGTTTGGGGAAGGCCCTTTCCTGTTTCAGCATGACAAAGCCCCTGTGCACAAAGTGAGGTCCATACAGAAATGGTTTGTCGAGATTAGTGTGGAATAACTTCACTGGCCTGCACAGAGTCCTGACCTCAACCCTATCGAACACCTTGAGGATGAATTGGAACGCCGACTGTGAGCCAGGCCTAATCGCCCAACATCAGTGCCCGACCTCACTAATGCTCTTGTGGCTGAATGAAAGCAAGTCCCTGCAGCAATGTTCCAACATCTAGTGGAAAGCCTTCCCAGAAGAGTGGAGGCTGTTATAGCAGCAAAGGGGGGACCAACTCCATATTAATGCCCATGATTTTGGAATGAGATGTTCGACCAGCAGGTGTCCACATACTTTTGGTCATGTAGTGTAAGTAGGCCTAAGGTTTTGTTTAGCCTACATTTTGCCTGGCACCTGCACTTCATAGGTCAGGCTACTTAAAGCGGCAATCAGCAGTTGAAACAATAACAAAAGCCCCACCACTGTTTCGGTAAAAAGCTGGTGGATGGGGCAGGAGAAATGTAACCACTCTCAAATTCATAGACAGAGCTATGTATGAAAGGACTGACCATCCATTTGTTTACATTTACTTAGTTTACAAACATTGGAGTGAATCAAGCCTATTTTGGGGTTCTGATGGGGTACGACAGTTGAACTAACCTCATTAGGCATTTATAAGTTATATTCTTCAAGAATCAATGGGTTCATATCATTAATTTCAAGTCCAAAAAATGGATTTAGCAACTGCAGATTGCCCCTTTAAGTTACATAGATTGAATAGCCTAAACACCTAATGTTGTGGCTCAAGCAGCCTACTGGTCGGGCAGTATGCTATCCTTTAAAGGAATGATCTCATCTTCGTGTCCCAATCTCTTTATTGACTGCGGGTGCAAGGGGATATTGTAAACGAGTCATGTAAAAGTAACAGTAGGCTAAATAAAAAAGGATTCAAGTGTAACATGTTTATTACAAATTATTACAATGTAATAAATAGATCAATCATACAGAGCGGTTCCGCATGATGCCAAGCCTATAGCCATTTAGGGCATAAACATTGCTGCCTTTGTAGCACTTGCGCAAGAGTTTTATGTAGGTGGAGATTTCTGTACATTTTGCCTATGCTTACTATTAAATTACTACTACCGCAGAGTCGAATCACCTACGACTACAACGTTGGCCATTGTGGTGCTATAGGCTACTTTTCCCTAAAACTAGCGTGCGTTTCCATCAAATATTATAATTGTTTTGTCCCCCACAATGCCAAAATGAATGTAATCACTCCTACTTCCACACAACAGTGCACGGAAAAAAGGTTACAATCCAAAGTGGATAGCTGAAATTGAAGAAGTCTCCAAAACGTAGTCTGAACATGTTTGGCAACATACAGTATTGATGGTAGGGTTGAGCATAATTATTATTTTGTTTAAGCAGCTAATGATAAGCAAGCCACCTATCGCCTGATTTATGGATCAAATCTCTCCACGAAAGACCATGCTCGTGTCCACCCTCGTGAATGAGCTCATATTCTTCGAGGTCTGTATGGAATGGTCAGGTGACCTTGTATTTGGACAGTTCCACTAAAGAGGGAGAATAGAGCAAGAATAAAATAGTTGTCACAGTTAAAATCCATATAACCGTTAATTTTTTTAACTTACTCGATAGTAAATCTTCTCTAATTTATGGCCTAAATAGAATATCCAAATATATTTCCTGTAATGACAATAAAAAGACACACAGAACACCATGTACCCTCCCCACTGGTTTAGAAATGGTATGGTCCTCTGGTAGAATTCCGAGAATTAAGCCCTTGAGTTTCTTAGAACTGTATTCTCAGAACTGGTGATGCACGAAGTTTCCAGGAAAGTTTTACAAGGTGAATTTTTTTCTCTCATTATTTTACAGTATTATGCTAGAAGTTGCTTGTAGTGGTAGACATTCGTTGTGGCTCATTGGCCTCTATTGATAAACTTTAAATACTTTAACATTCTTTCGATTGTGTATGTTTTCTTTAGTTTTGTGAACAGTAGGGTTTCTTAGACTGCAGTTGCTAGACTTCTTGCTGAAGATTTTACTTGATTCATGGTCAAGTAGTCTAGTATCTCCTCTGCTTGCGAGAGATTCACTCAGAAATTCGTGGTTCATTCTTTCATTGGGAAACTATTATTTAAAAAAATATTGCCAAGTTATGCTCTCACTTTTTTATCATGTTGGTTTATCAAATATCGACATATTATCGAGAGATTATATATTAGGCCGAATGTGCAGTTGCTTTATAGCCTTTCCTACTGTACAGAAATGTTACTTTTGGGTGTATATAGTCAGAATGTTTTTGATTGATCAAAGTAATTTTTCCTGGATAGTATGAATTTTATATTATCAAAAGGATGCATCTTTAATAGTCGTCAAATATCAGTAAACTAAGAGCAAGAACATTCGCGCAACAGTGAGCCTGTCTGGTTGTTAGATCACTGCGTACTAGTTTTGAGCTTTGAGCACTGTTCTTTTCTCTCTCTGATGGTGGTTTCACTTCGCTGGTAGACTTCCACTGATGATCTGTCGAATGCTTTTTCGATCAATGCTGAGACTAAACAAAAAACAAAGACCATTTTGATGTAGGCCTACACTCTTGATTTGTTTTAATGGACTGTTATTATCAATAACTGCCTACTCATTTTGTACTAAATTTACAGGCTCCACTCGTTTGTACTACATTTACAGGGGGAGCCTCTGCAATGTGTAGTCCTATGTGTACATGCATTTGAAACTCCTAAAATCCCACGACCTATTATACGCATTGCCATATTTCAATTTTCTAGTTTTTTTTCTCCAAGTTAAAATAAATTGGGTATAACCAGTGTTAAATGTCATAGGTTAAACAAGCTGGCTTTCCACGTATAGGCCTATCGAAGAACAGGAAACGTATTTAGAAGCAACCTAATCTGTGCGCACCCAAGACGGAATGTACTAAATGCGAGACATGTTCCAAGCATGAAGAGAGCGTGAGCCGTCCGCATTCATGTGCTTGGCTATAGGTCAAAAGCAAATAGGAAACAGGTTTTCAATGTTTTTAAAGTGTTATTAAAGTGTTTCTAAGGAATGTATAGTGAAATATTTGCAGTAAAATAAAGTTAATAATTTCTAAATGTAAAAATATTATATTTGTAAGTTTATTGTAAGTGTTAATAATGTCTATGGTAGGTCTAATAGCAATATGTAATCCAATATTTAGGTACCAACAAATGCCCTAACTTGTTTACTGTAGCCTGTATAAAGTCTACTTTCCCACAACAATCATGACTTGTCACTATTTTTATGTCATGAACATGAATCCAATGCCTCAGAGTAGCTATAGTTGACATGGTGTGTAAGATCTGTAGCCTCCCTCAGAGACGTGGTCCCATTTCCGTCAATGCTTTTTACTTTGTTGGACATTGAAATGGCGCCACCTATTGGGATATTTTTGAGACACACATCAAGTTCAATGGTAATAGGATTATGATGCTACAGTATGTCCTCATATACTGTACACTATATATGCAAAAGTATGTGGACACCCATTCAAATTAGTGCATTTGGCTATTTCAGCCACTCCCGTTGCTGACAGATGTATAAAATCGAGCACACAGCTATGCAATCTCTATAGACAAACATTGGCAGTAGAATGGCCTTACTGAAGAGCTCAGTGACTTTCAACGTGGCACCGTCATAGGATGCCACCTTTCCAACAATTCAGTTTGTCAAATTTCTCACCTGCTAGAGCTGCCCCGGTCAACTGTAAGTGCTGTTATTGTGAAGTGGAAACGTCTAGGAGCAACAACGGCTCAGCCGTGAAGTGGTAGGCCACACAAGCTCACAGAAAGGGACCGCCGAGTGCTAAAGAGCGTAGCACTTGGGAGCTTCATGAAATGGGTTTCCATGGCCGAGCAGGCGCACACAAGCCTAAGATCACCATGCGCAATGCCAAGCATCGGCTGGAGTGGTGGACTCTGGAGCAATGGAAATGCGTTATCTGGAGTGATGAATCACGCTTCACCATCTGGCAGTCCGACAGATTAATCTGGTTTTGGCGGATGCCAGGAGAATGCTGCCTGCCCCAGTGCATAGTGCCAACTGTAAAGTTTGGTGGAGGAGGAATAATGGTCTGGGGCTGTTTTTATAGTTCAGGCTAGGCCCCTTAGTTCCAGTGAAGGGAAATCTTAACGCTACAGCATACAATGACATTCTAGATGATTCTGTGCTTCCAACTGTGTGGCAAAACATCTAGTGGAAAGCCTTCCCAGAAGAGTAGAGGCTGGTATAGCAGCAAAGGGGGGACCAACTTCATATTAATGCCCATGATTTTGGAATGAGATATTCGACGAGCAGGTGTCCACATCCTTTTGGTCATGTAGTGTATAACATATGACACATTTCTGACTAGAGCAGCTTTGCTTACTTTATGTTAATGTTCATCGGCAACGCTCACAATCTGAGTTTGGCTGATTGTCCTTTTTTAATACAGCATTTTTCCATGTTTCTCCAGATTCTGACATCATGGCCTCATTGGCAAATGGCTGCATTCAATTCACCCGCCATGCTGGTGATGTACTGCTCAACTTCAACCGACTCCGCAGTAGAAATATCCTGACGGATGTCACTATCCAGATTGACGGTCAGCGCTTCTGCGCTCACAGGACGGTCCTCGTAGCCTGCAGGTACGTTCAAGACCAACTACCTGTTTTTAGGCCAATTGTCCTTCTTGTGCTATGCGATTGCCATTGTGAGAGAAAAAGGCATAAACTTAATGTGATTTTCCATTTCTGTTTATAGTGGGCTCTTTTACTCCATATTTACCGACCCCCTGAAGAGTAACCTGAGTGCCATCAGCCTGGACCCCAAGGTGGACCCTGATGGTTTTGCCATCCTGCTGGACTTCATGTACACCTCCACCCTGACCCTGAAGGACAGCTTGGTTCTGGTTACCATGAACACAGCCTCGTACCTCCAGATGGAACATGTGGTGGATACCTGCCGCAGATTCATCAAGTCCAGGTACGACAAAAATGACATCATTGTTAATCCATTTATACTTGGTAGCCTACTAGTGCCTGGAACTTTTCCTGGTCAGGTCAGTGAATATTCCAGGCCCTATTTTTTACTTTTTCACATCTGAATAGTATCCGTTTGGAACTAAATAAGTGTTTTTCCTTATTTCCTGGCACTTCAGAGAGCAGTCTGTGAGTCTGCAGAGAGATGAGGTTATGGCCACCCCAATGCGTCTCTCTCAGGACCTCCCTGCTTTCAGGGCTCTGGATGGGTTGGCGACCAGCCCCAGCCACACATCCATATCTCCTCTCAGAGACAGGAGGAGCTACGGCCCCAGTGTGTTCACTGGTATCAATGCTTCGGGTAGCTCCCACCACGTCCACGGAAAACACGTCCCAATGCCCATCAGAAAGCTGCCAGACGGCCTCAATTTCAGTGACCTTCCCAAAGGGGATGCCATTTCTCAGAAACTCTGCTCTCCCGCAAATCGCACAGAGGCCACCACCATCATCCACCACCCTCTTTCATCCCACTCCTCATCCTCCTCCATTATGATCCTCCGCCCTCTCCCCTGCTACAGCCGCCAGTCGGGGTCCTTCATGGGCCTCCAGGGACCTGAACACAGAGGGGCCTCCCCCATGGAGGAGGACAGCATCCAGCCCCCCCAGGCAGACTCCCTCAGCCTGTCCCCAGGCTGCAGCAAAGGGGTGATCTGCAGCCCGCAGAGCCCCCTCCGCTCTGACTGCCAGCCCAACTCCCCCACCGAGTCCAGCGGCTGCAGCAGGAATGCAGCCCTGACCCAGCCCTCTGGCTGCTCCCAGGAGTCCAAGGCCCGCAACTGGAAGAAGTACAAGTTCATCGTGATGAACCAGACCTCCAGGGAGAAGGAGGAGGACGAGGCCCAGGGAGTGAGCGTTGAGGCTGGGAACTGCTCCCCTCCTCAGGGCTCCTATGAGACTAGTGGATCAGAGGGACCGATGAAGGACATGCAGGCTGCAGAGATGGACAACGTGCATGGAGAAGAGATCCTTGTCCCACAGGCCAGCCATCACAACATTAGCCAACTGAGATGCTCCTCGTGTGGTACAGACGCCCCTCAGCACCAGAAGGTGTGTCCCTGCTCCCCTGGCACCTACAGCAGGGAGGACACCAATGACCTGCACACTGAGTACTCTGACTCAAGCGGTGGTGAGTAGTGTACTTAAATTAATGAGGACACTGCAATAAACGTTGACACACTATAGTTACATTCATGCTGTTACACTTTTCATTGACTAAATCTCAATGTTTCTGTTGTAGAGAATGGTTCCAACTTCTGCAACTTCTGTGACTCAAAGTTTGCGGAAGCGGACTCCCTGAAAGGCCACATGCTCCAGGTCCATGCTGACAAGCCATACAAGTGTGACCGATGCCAGGCTGCCTTCCGTTACAAAGGGAACCTCGCCAGCCACAAGACTGTCCACACCGGTAATATTTATGTTACATCTTAAAGGAAAGATTCACCCATTTTGAATGTTATATCGTATTTGTGCATCTCTGAGCGATGTTCCAGGATTCACCTGGTCAGTATGTCATGGAAAGGGCAGGTGTTCCTAATGTGTTGTATACTCAGAGTACATACAAGGTCCTGGATGGTATCAGTGTTTCATGGTTTATTTATACCTCTTGCAATCCAGGAGAGAAACCGTACCGCTGTAACATCTGCGGTGCTCAGTTCAACCGGCCGGCCAACCTCAAGACCCACACCCGAATCCACTCGGGAGAAAAGCCATACAAGTGTGAGACGTGTGGCTCTCGCTTCATACAGGTGAGGAAACAGCTAGGAACTGTGATTCACTCATGAAGGACAGCAATTTCCCAAACTGTATATGTTATTGTATATTTACTTGAATTTATCTCCTACAAATCTAAAGTATCTTATGTATTTTCTTCCTAGGTCGCGCACCTCCGCGCCCACGTGCTGATACATACGGGGGAGAAGCCGTATCCCTGTGAGATCTGTGGGACACACTTCCGCCATCTTCAGACCCTCAAGAGCCACTTACGCATCCACACAGGAGAAAAGCCCTACCATGTAAACACCTTGTCTTTCCATTCACTTGACCCAGTGTGTATCGGCTAAATCGGGACTGGTCCACTTCTTCAATAATCCCTTCCTGGCTTCCTGTGACTGCCTATCAATAGCCTAAACCGAGTATCGCTATATACAACCCGGGGCCTCAGCTTAAATTAAATCAGCTATAGCCTCTGTCCTCCTGCTAACCCTTCATTGAATGTATGAATGAATTCATTTAGAGGCAGTTTCATTCAATTAGTGACACATTGCATTCCGTTCTTTTTCTTCCTCAGTGCGAAAAATGTGACCTCCACTTTCGCCACAAGAGCCAGTTGAGGCTGCATCTCCGGCAGAAGCACGGCGCAGTCACCAACACCAAGGCTCAGTACTGCCGGGCGAACACGGACATGCTCGTTGGCTTGTCCAAGGCCTGCTGAATGGACACTGGGAAGATGGAGTTTGATTGGCTGACAACCGTCTTACGTTGTCGTAGTAACCCATCATAGCGTCTTAGTAACACACTGTCAGAGATTGTTGTGTTTGTTGGCACATGGCAGATGGGTTTCCTCCAAATGTGAATATAGAACCATATTTTATAATTCATAGACATTTTACTTTATGTTTGTATATAAGTCAGGTACGTATTGATGATGCAATGTACATTTAGAAAATTTGAGTTTTGGAATATAACTTATTATATCGGGTAATACTTTTTTCCTGAATGTTTTCAGTTGAAGGACGGTGTTCTTTTAGAAGACACTCAAAACTGTTCTTGAAATCCTTAATCATATTGAGAAACACTGTTACATTGGTACAATTCTATTATAGATAAAGTATATGGGGGCATGTTCAGCTGGAGATAAGCTAATGTATTATCCAGTTTGTAGTTTCTTATATCTTGTATATTGTGAATATATAATGTAATATCTATCCAGATTGCCCTCTGCTGGCAGAGTATATGTCTGTAAGTACTAAGGTACATCAGCTTTGTCTTTCTACCTAGTGAAAGTTTGTCATTGCATCTGTCATTTGGTCAAAATAATATATTATCCGACACGGGTACATACACAATGTATTCAAGGTGCCTTACACTAAGTTGTCAGATTTTTTGTCCATTCAGTTCATTACCGCAAAGTCCTACGTCAGCACTTTCTACTGTATTTGTTTTGTACGCTTTTTGTCTCAAGCCCACAAGCTGTAAATACACCAGCTCTCAAGCTACAAGTCCTCAGGAACGTTATCAACATTTGTCTTTGTAAACTGCAGAGCTTTATGTGAAATATAAATAAAGGAATTTCTTATGAAAACATAAGTGTATCTTTTGGTATCATTTGTCAATGTGACAATGCAAATAAGAATGTCTCGAAATATCACATCCTAACATGAACTGTGATATGGATTGATATGTAATAAACTTGATAGTATGTGCGGGGAGACGCAGACATGCATTAACCTGGGGGAAGGGAAACGGGATAACCATGTATGTTTACAGTGCCTTGCAAAAGTATTCATCCCCCTTGGCGCTTTTCCTATTTTGTTGCATTACAACCTGTAATTTAAATGGATTTTTATTTGGATTTCATATAATGGACATACACAAAATAGTGCAAATTGGTGAAGTGAAATGAAAAAAATAACTTGTTTCAAGAAATTCTGAAAAATAAATAACGGAAAAGTGGTGCGTACATATGTATTCACCCCTTTTGCTACGAAGCCCCTAAATAAGATCTGGTGCAACCAATTACCTTCAGAAGTCACATAATTAGTTAAATAAAGTCCACCTGTGTGCAATCTAAGTGTCACATGATCTGTCACATGATATCAGTATATATACACGTGTTCTGAAAGGCCCCAGAGTCTGCACCACCAAGCAAGTGGCACCATGAAGACCAAGGAGCTCTCCAAACAGGTCAGGGACAAAGTTGTGGAGAAGTACAGATCAGGGTTGGGTTATAAAAAAATATCAGAAACTTTGAACATCCCACGGAGCACGATTAAATCCATTACTAAAAAATTGAAAGAATATGGCACCACAACAAACCTACCAAGAGAGGGCCGCCCACCAAATCTCACGGACCAGGCTAGGAGGGCATTAATCAGAGAGGCAACAAAGAGACCAAAGATAACCCTGAAGGAGCTGAAAAGCTCCACAGCGGAGATTGGAGTATCTGTCCATAGGACCACTTTAAGCCGTACACTCCACAGAGCTGGGCTTTATGGAAGAGTGGCCAGAAAAAAGCCATTGCTTAAAGAAAAAAATAAGAAAACACGTTTGGTGATCGCCAAAAGGCAGGTGGGAGACTCCCCAATCATATGGAAGAAGGTACTCTGGTCAGATGAGACTAGAATTGAGCTTTTTGGCCATCAAGGAAAACGCTATGTCTGGCGCAAACCCAACACCTCTCATCACCCGAGAACACCATCTCCACAGTGAGGCATGGTGGTGGCAGCATCATGCTGTGGGGATATTTTTCATCGGCAGGGACTGGGAAACTGGTCAGAATTGAAGGAATGATGGATGGCGCTAAATACAGGGAAATTCTTGAGGGAAACCTGTTTCAGTCTTCCAGAGATTTGAGACTGGGACGGAGGTTCACCTTCCAGCAGGACAATGACCCTAAGCATACTGCTAAAGCAACACTCGAGTGGTTTAAGGGGAAATATTTAAATGTCTTGGAATGGCCTAGTCAAAGCCCAGACCTCAATCCAATTGAGAATCTGTGGTATGACTTAAAGATTGCTGTACACCAGCGGAACCCATCCAACTTCAAGGAGCTGGAGCAGTTTTGCCTTGAAGAATGGGCAAAAATCCCAGTGGCTAGATGTGCCAAGCTTATAGAGACATACCCCAAGAGACTTGCAGCTGTAATTGCTGCAAAAGTTGGCTCTACAAAGTATTGACTTTGGGGGGGGTGAATAATTATGCACGCTCAAGTTTTCTGTTTTTTTGTCTTATTTCTTAATTGTTTCACAATAAAACATATTTTGCATCTTCAAAGTGGTAGGCATGTTGTGTAAATCAAATGATACAAACCCCCAAAAAAATCAATTTTAAATACAGGTTGTAAGGCAACAAAATAGAAAAAATGCCAAGAGGGGTGAATACTTTCGCAAGCCACTGTAAGAACCATATTTAATTAAGTTGTTTTCTATAATGATCTGTTGTAACTAAGTACTGATGTTCCTACCTTTGACCTGTTTCTTCTGCCAGTATCAAATGTCTGCCAGTGTTGACTGTTATGGTTAAAGTTTGATGCCAGACTGAGCAGAGGGCACACTGATAATGTATCGGTGACACTGTGTTTCTGTAGCCACTGATGTTGTGTTATTCACCTTTAAAATCCCTATTACACAGTGTTTCATTAAAATAAATAATGTGCATTCACAGAAAATCAACATTTTGGCAACCCACTTAACCCCAGGATTTCCCCAAGTTTTCATTATCATTGTAAAGTTATTTTGTTGCTTTGGGAAAGTTTCTGAAGATTTGTATTTATTTAAATGTGATTAGTGATTCATTTATATTTGTCCCTCGGGTTTAAGGTCAACTTTGTAAGGTGAATGAAACTGTTGTTTTAATATGGTAAAACGATTCCTTTTTTTTCTCCAAAAGAAACATTGAACATTTAATAGTCAAATGATAGTGTAAAATTAAGTGTGCTAATTCTACTATTTTTGGACATTTTCTGGTGTTTTGTGGTGGAAAAATGAGTGTGCTGAACATAACACTTCAACTCTGATATATAGATATGCTAGAAATGTTTTGTTAAGCTTGCATTCAATTGCCCCTCCCTGTTGCACACAACAAACTTCCATTCCCCCAGTCACAAGGGGAGTTATGGCTGATTTAAGGTGAAATCGTCAACCATGTCACTTTAATTGTCACTTTTTGATAGTAGTTTTTCTTAATTTAACCCTTTGAGATGGGAAAGCATGTTTGATATTAAGTTGTTATTAAGTGGAATTAGGTTTATGACAGAATGTTAAAATTAGGTGAATAAATAGTTATGTTTTACAAAATAACACTACCCAAAAGGCACTCTATTCGTGGAATGACACAGGTAGTGAAAGGAAACAGGTGCAGTTTGGCATTATAGTTGACTTATGATTATGTAACAATATTGAATTTCCTGATTGGTCATGTACAGACAGACAACACATTTTGTTTTAATATTAGGCCAGAGTTGAAAAAGCAGTTGTATTTCCATAAAATAATAATTACATTTAGTTTATTAGTGCTCTTTGAAGATAAGATGATTCAATGGACATTTTCCTTGAACACATAACACAGAAGTGGTGGCATGCTAAAGAGTCAAGGAATCACAAGATATAATTCAATGATGTGAATAATTCATTGCATAAGATGTGAATGAGACAGTTTAAAGGGCCAATCAGCAGTTAAAACAATAACAAAGTGTACTCCCCGCCACTGTGGGATGGGGCTGAAGAAATGTAACCACTTTCAAATTCACAGTCAGAGCTATGGATGCAAGTACTGACCATCCAGGATATCAAATTGCAAGTTTTAACCGTGTTTTAAGGCTATACAGTGTTCGTTTTACCTTTACTTTGTTTACAAACATTGGAGAAAAACAAGCTTGTATTTTGGGTTCTGATGGGGTACGACAGTTAAACTAAGCTCATGAGGCATTTATAAGTTGTATTCTTCAAGAAACAATGGGTACATATCATTAAGTCAAAAAATTGATGTAGCAACTTCTGATTGCCCGTTTAAATTGAGAAATTGACATGAAAAACTTGAATAACAAATAAAGTAAAAATGGTGATGTGACATTTCTCAACACTAGTGACTCACTGTTGATGTCAGTCTGCCCCCTGCTGGCTTATTGGGTTGACTGACATGGGAGTGATTCCCATCAGTATTTACAATGTAGTTACATGGTTAGGTACAGTGTAATTGCAGTTGAACTGTACATTGTTACATAATACTTACTATGATGGCTGTTTGTACACTTAATTACACAATTGCATTGTCATCAGATTTATATTATATTATCTGACACGGGTACATACACAATGTATTCAAGGTGCCTTACACTGAGTTGTCAGATTTTTTGTCCATTCAGTTCATTCCCGCAGTCCTATGTCAGCACTTTGTACTGTATTTGTTTTGTACGCTTTTTGTCTCAAGCCCACAAACTGTAAATACACCAGCTCTCAAGTCCTCAGGAACGTTATCAACATTTGTCTTTGTAAACTGCAGAGATTTGTGAAATATAAATAAAGGAATTTCTTATGAAGACATAAGTGTATCTTTTGGTATCATTTGTCAATGTGACAATGCAAGTAAGAATGTCTCGAAATATCACATCCTAACATGAACTGTGATATGGATTGATATGTAATAAACGTGATAGTATGTGCGGGGAGACGCAGACAGACGCATTACACTGGGGGAAGGGAAACAGGATAACCGTGTATGTTTACGAACCATATTTAATTAATTTGTTTTCTATAATGATCTGTTGTAACTAAGTCCTGATGTTCCTACCTTTGACCTGTTTCTTCTGCCAGTATCAAATGTCTGCCAGTGTTGACTGTTATGGTTAAAGTTTGATGCCAGACTGAGCAGAGGGCACACTGATAATGTATCGGTGACACTGGTGTTTCTGTAGCCACTGATGTCGTGACTTCCTACAAGTCTCTCGGTGAATAAAAGCCTTCTCTTTTATTCACCTTTAAAATCTCTATTACAGTGTTTCATTAAAATAATGTGCATTCACAGAAAATCTAAAATTTTGGCAACCCACTTAACCCCAGGATTTCCCCAAGTTTTCATCATCATTGTAAAGTTATTTAGTTGCTTTGGGAAAGTAATTGCAGTGGAACAGTGCATTGTTACATAATACTTACTATTATGGCTGTTTGTACACTTAATTACACAATTGCATTCTCATCACATTTTTTTATATATAAAATTTAACTATAACTGTGGCTATAACCACTCACCCTTGAATTGAGTAATAACACACAAGGAGTTTAGCGAAAGCTTGCTAAATGGCATATATTATATTAGCACATTTGTGATCATGGTAGCCGACAACAAGCTTGGATGAAATTAAATACATGTAATGTAAACAAAGTTGAAGTTTGGTCTGATATGGCAAACTAGTTATACCAACAATAACCATTTGTATAAGGCTTGTGGTAGACACAAAATAGATTGCAAATATAGTTACAGATATCAAAATCTCAGTCAGGAACAATTACATTGAGCACTTTAAAACTAGCCAAATTAGTCTTGGGGACCTGTCAGCAAACAGTTGAGAAACACCGATATACCCTTGAAACAGTGTGACCTTCTGTCTGTGAATGTTGGAATTACCAGTTTGAGTGGGTCCATAAGTATTCACCTGTCAAAGAAAATAAAGTACAGACATGAGGGGGTATATTTGGTTTGTTTGTATTTGCCGTTTTCTCCCACTTTACACGGCAACATACTCCGATTCAACAAAATTGTTCCTTGTTCCTTTGTTGCGTACTCAAAGATTTAACAAATAACACACAACAGAAACTTAACAGTCGAAAGCTGACCTTTGTGCAGTTTTGTAATGACACATATAGACACAGCCAAGTCATTGTGGAGAACAACGGACTTTAAGCACTGGACTTTACATTTTCAGTCATGGGACGACAAAGACATGTCAGTATTTCAGCATTCTGGAGAATACCAAATACTCTTTCATGTGCTTTGACACAAACTTGCGATCAGTCCCAAGTTTAAACTTGATTTAACAAGTTTAAGTTTAAAACTGGTCCCACACCGTATATGCTGTAACAACTATTGTTGTCATGCCAATTTAATCCACAAGTTTGTAATGCAGCAATCAAGGATGCGGTTTCTCGATTCCCTGTGGTCCTATGGGACCTCCGTTCATATTTCTTCCAACATGAGACCGGTGTTTTATATATTTTATTAGTACACAGGGGAAGCCCATAAGACAACAGCGTTCCTCTCGGAGTACAACCAAATTGATTCACTAGAGATGACATCTCTTCCCCCTCTCTGTCTATCCTTTTCTTCATAATCCTTCTCCATCTATTCCAGGGCTCTCCAACCCTGTTCCTGGAGAGCTACCATCCTGTAATCTAACGCAGGGTTTCCCAAACTCGGTCCTGGGGCCCCCCCTGGGTGCATGTTTGGGTTTTGACCTAGCACTACACAACTGATTCAAATAATCAAAGCTTGATGATTACTTGGTTATTTGAATCAGCTGTGTAGTGCTAGGATAATGAAGACCCTGATCTATCACACCTGGTTCTAATAATTAGCTGGTTGATAAACTGAATCAGGTTACTTATAACTGGGGTTGGAGTGAAAATCTACAAGAGGGTTGCTCTCCAGGAACAGGGTTGGAGAGCCCTGATCTAGTCTATAGAAGTGGTTGGTCTGTGAAAAAGCATGTGCTCGCTTAGGGAACGGCTAACAATGGTGTACACAGATTTTATCACAAAAAAATTAATTTAGCTAACATACAGCACTATATATATGCCTCTGCTTGACAACAAAAGGAAGTGCCTCACCAAGCTAAGAGCAATTCTATTAGTCTTGTCCCTATGCAAAGGCCCACGACTACAATGACAGGCTTGTCAGTTGGTGTACGACTACCACAGTGAAACCCTCTGCGCATGTGAGGTTTGTCAGCAGAGCATCTTGCTACCTATCTTATTCACTCTTACACACACACTCACTCACACACACACACCCTTGGACGAGCAGCTCAGCACTGACAAAAAAAAAGAATGTAAAAAGTAAACTGTTGCTGCAGTTGATAAAAAGACAAACTAAACGTAACTGTGAATGTAACAGTTGTTGGCAGTTGGCGGAATTTCAACCCTCTTTGTCCAGGATGGTTTTGACGTCGGCAAACACCTGAAACAGAGAGAGAGAAAGAGATGCATTAGAGAAAACAAAAGACTCACCTTTGTGTTTTTTGTGTGCAATGGCCTGAAAGACAAGTGTGTGATTGCCAGAGGGTGCAGGAGAACAGAGAGAAAACCAATAGGGAAGGAAACAACTTAGAGGGAATTAACACTCAAATATAGGACAAGTAAGAGTGAATACGTTTGTATTAGTGAGTGTATTCCAACTGCCCATCATGTGTGCCTTCAATGGCGCAGTGCTGTATAATCCTTTGCATACCTCGTCCACACCGCACGAGGCATCCACGGTGCGCACCTTGCCCTGTTTCTCATACAGTGAGATGATGGGCCGTGTCGACTGCAGGTAGGTCTGGATCCTTCAGGGGAGGAAAAGGAGGCTCAGAAACAGGGCTGACCAGGACTCAGAGGAGACCCAAAATGGGGTCACAGTCATACAAGTACATACAGCCAAGCTAAAACATGCTCCAGTGTATTTTACTTTTAGGGGTGGGTCAAGGTGGGACTGAAAATCGCAATCTCAAAAGCAATGTTTTTTTCACTAGAAGTCCATTATTAAAGGTCCATTATGTCGTTTTGTGTACAACCCGACTGATTTCAGACAGAAATACAGGTTATAGATCTGTCACACTCATTGAAAGCAAGTCTGATGAATGGTAGATCCGTTGTATATGCAATATTTCTATGCTTCCCCTCCGTAAGTTTTGTTTTTGCTTCTTATTACTTTCGGTTTTGTACATCACCTTACAACTGCAAAAAATACAGTATTTTTGATGACTGAAACTATATTTCACAGCGGTTTAGAGGGTACAATGATTCTATACACTTTGCTTGTTGTGTCGCATGAACTGAAATCAGGCGAACATTTTAGAAACCAGGAAATGGCACCATACCCTTTTTTTTATGACCAAGAGCTGTGTCCCCTTTTGAGAGTTCCAGTTCATATTAAATAGGTCAATGGTCAGTGATCATGGAAAGCCTTAGAGTTTGGACTCTACCTTTTCTCCAGGCTCGCTCTGTTGTCATCGGTCCGCCCACTGCTCTTCCCTCTTTCTAGACATCGGTTGATACAGACCTGTAAACAAGCAAACACAGAGCTCTCAGCATTAAAACATTACACAATCAGCCAAGCAATAACGATATTAACACTAGGAGGTCGTACTCCAAATGTGTCTTACATATCTGAGGTATAGCTTTCCCTTCCAATGATTTTGCACCTCCCACTTTGTCCCCTCCCCTTCCTCTTGGAGATCCTCCCCCCAATATGTATTATTACCTCATTACTACAGTCAAAGAAAAGCACAAATTTGACGTCAGCCTTCCCGTCCATGACAGTGGTCCACCCCTGGAGGTTGTCTTCGTTTCGGGGGAAGCCGTCGATGAGGAAGCGGAATTTCTTCTCGTCTATCTGCATGGTGTCCTCCATGGCCTGAGGACAAAGGAAAGTTAAAGTTAAAAGGGATATTCTGTCCCAAATCAAAGTTAGACATTTTTATGTCTAAAAAGTGGTGTGTCTGTCTATATGCATCTGACATGAAAAATATTTTGGGTGAACTATTCCTTTTAAGTGTGAAGCAAGGATTCATTCAGCCCATGGAGCAATGACAGAAACTATTTCAGTAAGAGGGGGAAAAAATGCTTACTCAGACCACAGTGCCACTACCCTCTACCCCATGTTATCTAAGCTAATAGTAATTCTGATTGCTAACTTACTGTACGTCAACAGTTACCACAAACCTTGTAGCCATAGGTACCTGGAGATGGTGCATACCTTCCTGAGTAAGTTAATGGTGATCTCGACAGGGACGATCTTGCCTTCCTTGATGTAACTGTCAATGAGCTGTCCAAACTCTGACCCCTCTCGGCTTCGCTCGGCCCTCAGCAGGTCTCCGGCAGACAGGTGGGTGTAACTGTAGTTCTGTGAAAAACACAAAGGGTTAATGCCAGCCTTAACTAAAACAACACAGTGCACTACTCTAACAATAATCACTGATCCAACTGCTTATGTGGGACAATTGTACAGAAACATACCTGTACTGTACTAACAAAGTATGTTACTTTGCTTAGAAATCAATTGGTTATGAGAATTAAATTGTCCGGGACTAATGTCATTTTTAAAAGGAGTGCAATAGTAACAATGCATTAAGTAGAGAATACATTGAAAAGAGCAGCGTCATAGGCATTGTTGGTTATTGTTCTAAAAGGATGCTGCTGTGCTCCACTAACACTGAAAGCAGGGGAAGGGATTTTTATATTTCGCTGTATGAAGACAGGCTTTATAAGTGGGTGGGTGGCTTAAGAACACGTGTTTCTTCATGTTTGAACAGGATGCTTACTCAAACACACGTGGCCCAGCTTTGTATGAATATAGGTCTAAACAAAGTAATTGGCAAATGCAGGAAACTTGTCTTGGCACAGAAGAAAGCCAAGGGGGAGCTACAATGTTGGGCGTTAATATGTCAGACAGCTGAATAGCAGTAGTAGATGCTAACTCTTCCAACTGTTTGAGTTTTATCTTTAGATGTAAAACCCCACCCAGACTCAGATAAACATCTGCCTTCATTTCTCAAGACTACTTGTTCAAGGGCATTGGCTGGAGGTTTAGAGCAGGTGCATTGCAGATAAACTTGACATAATGTGAATTGCACAACAGCTGAACTGATAAGATGTAGACTACGCATTGGTATGATGTCAATATCAGTGCATAGGCTACTCTGTGTATGTAGCTAGAAGCCTACCACAATGAACATAGAGCTAGCCCATTCATAGACGGTATATACCGTCTATTCACGAACCTGTCTGCTGGCTGAGGACAGCGCACCGACGCTGCCCAAATGCTGTCTAAATGCAAATACGCCTTGCACGCGATACAGTTTTGAAAACATTTGGAACTTAACTTTCATATCAGTGAGAAATTATTTTCAAAAAAACAAAAGGTTCCTACACAACTTTATATGGTTAGGGTTCCCACACGGACATATTTCCATGTTACAGCGCTTGTTTACGGAAGACAGAGGCGACCACATCTGCTAATTAGCTATATGCGGGCCTCCGCACACCTGTGTGTAACGGAAGAAGGACGCCACAAACATGTTGTAACTGAAAAATAGTGTCAGCTGCAACTGTTAAAACCGGTTAAAAGTGTACCGTATTTGTATATTTAGCCTTTGTGATTTTTTTAAAATGTGATATCAAAGTAGCGGGCTTTATGTTTCTAGAACTGTACTGCAATTGAGAATATTTGGAATATTTGGCTGTTTTGGCTGCCAGAGCCAATTCGCCTCTGAACATAACATGTAAGGTCCTTGAGTTGGACTAAAGAAGTAGGCTAGCCTCTTCTGTCACTTGTTGGCGAGCCATAGCCCACTTTGACTCCTGAGGGGTATACTACCAAAAACGATCTATGAGTTTGCCAGCTAAACTTGCCTAAATAAGACAGAAAAACTAGAAAAGGGCATGGTCTAATTGACTCAACAACCAATAACCAGAAAATGTGTTATTTTTTCTGGTTGTTTATCAAAGTTTGCTGGCTAACACATTGATTCTGCTTTGTAGTACACCCTTCTGATATTCAGGAAAAAAATTCAGATTGTTCGCTAGTTGAAAGGCTAACTTTGATGGAAAAAATATCATTATTATTCATTGCTCACATAACTAGTTAGCTTGCTAGCTAGTATGGTCTTGGCATAGCTATGCTAGCTAACTAACTAGCATAATGAGTAGGTTACATTTCAGAGGACAAAAACCGGAAGTCGATCCATTTAGCTGGTCTCTGATGGACAGAAGCCAACAAAAGTGAACACAATCCCCTCAAATCTGTTAGTGGTTTCTTTCCCCAACACAATTCAATGCCCTGTCAAATTATCTTTGTCCTTTTCATTGTTCTTTCCTCGCCATCTCACCTCCACGATTCTGGCACACTGGGTCCCTTTCCCCGCTCCAGGCCCGCCCAACACGAACACAACCTGCGGCTTCATGATCAATGCGGCCCTGTACACAACGCTCGGCACCTTCGCTGATAACCTACTCAATAAAAGGAAAATCATAAACCGAAAACGACAACCAAACAATACACTAAGTGAACCCGGTTCGACGAGGAGTCTGAATGACGAACAGATTTAATGACCGGTTGATGCGTGTCAGTGGGAAGTCCGTCAAAGCAACACCACTTCCGCTGTTGACGTGGCCAACCAATGGCAAAAAAAAGGGGGAGTGTCCATGGGGCGTAAATCACGCCCACATGATGTACACTTTTCAATGCAGGGGTCTAGTGACGCCTCTCCCTCACTGGTTGCCGCTGTCTATCATCCCAGCATCAGCACCTAGCCGAACTGAACAGCGACCGTCCTCGAGGAAATTATGCTCTACCAAGCGAGGGAGTTGGAGCAATAATGCTCAATCGGTCGACGGAGGTAGATATGGATGATTCGTGTCACCAAAACATTTTAGGGATGTCTGGGCGGCTGGGTATCACACCTAGTCCCGGGCACGTTTGTGAATCTCTCGTTGCTTTGAAATAGCGCTAAGGCGATTTATTGGCTCGACAGGGCACCATAGCCTGCCATGCGCTGTTTTGTTGATTTATAAAGCCTATAGGCTATAATTACCCTACTATCATCGGTTTTAGGTAGGATATAAGCCATTGTATAACGTCTTCTTGTTGTGACGACCAAGACAATCTCATTTGAGGGCGCCGTACAAATAACAGGGCTATGCAAGCCATTCAAACAAAGGCACCCGAACACCCCCATTGACGCACCTGCTGCCCGGTCGCCACTGACATGACAACGCTGAGCCGAAGGAGCAGGATCAAAGGGCACCGACCTGCAGCCGGACGCGTGGACTCGAAAAGGAAGGGGGACGTCGGACACGCAGAGAGTAAGCAGCATCCCGGGGGAGGCCCAATTTCAGTTTCTGGGGACAAGCACCAAGGGCAGTGCGGCACTCAACAGTCACATCGGGGAAGGCTGCGGGGAGCTGTTCAGTGTACCTTCCCCACACGCACTCTCCATTCCGCTCCTACATTAACGTTCCATTTCCCCGGTGCGGAAAAATGCTTGAAAACAACTGCTTGATTTGATATGGAATGTCTGTATTCAAAATGATGTCTCTATTTCGTTTTCTTCTACCCAGTAATTTGCCCTCATCAGTGATGGGTAAATGAAAAGATTGATATTGATTTACAAGCTGGATGGAATCCGAGAGGGACTGATGTGCATACTGGTCAGGTATCATCTTCTTCCTCCGTCTCTGGTTCTGCTTACTCTGCTACTTGCCAGCACAATGGGCTGTATCCAGAGCATTGCCTGCAAGCCGCGCATTAGAAGGGAGAACATTGTAGTCTACGAGGTTTCGGCCTCCATTGACCAGTGCCCAACGGTGATAGAGGAGAACTCGCCCATAGTGCTGCGGTATAAGACACCTTACTTCAGGGCCTCTGCCGGGATCGTGATGCCTCCGGTGCCCCGCAATGAGACCTGGGTGGTGGGTTGGATCCAGGCTTGTACACAAATGGAGTTCTACAATAATTATGGGGACATTGGCATGTAAGTTCTGAGTTGTTGTCATCTACCATCAGTCATCTCGAAATGCCACTCATTCATACTCTGACACACTCTCTCACATACACACACACACACACACACACACACACACACACACACACACACACACTTAAGTGCTGTGGGCGTAGTGTGTGTGTGTGTATTGGCCTAGCCTTTAGTTCAGTGGGCTAACACAGTCTTGAGTCACTTGGCCAGTCAATCCTAGTCCATCACATGTGCGCTGTAATACTGTCTGTTTGTATCAGTTGTAGACCTGGGTGAATTTCTAGCGCCTGTGAAATTATAGCCATGCATGGCCTACTATAAAAACAGAGTCCCATTAAGTGAGGTCTTGCACATATATCATGTTCTGTTGTATTGTTTTGTATATTACTAAGACATTCTCTCTGCATGTCCACTACCCAAGGTCCAGCTGGGAGTTACCAGAGCTCCGTGAGGGCCGGGTCAAGGCCATCAGCGATTCGGATGGGGTCAGCTACCCCTGGTATGGCAACACCACTGAGACGGTTACCCTTACGGGCCCCACGTCCAAACCGTCGCGCCTCACAGTCAGCATGAATGACAATTTCTACCCCAGTGTGACCTGGGCCGTGCCCATCAGCAACAGCAACACACCCATGCTGTCACACATCACCCGAGACCAGAGCTTCATCACCTGGCTGGTTGCCATCAACTCTGTCACCAAGGTAGGCTTCAGAAGATGGACCTCCTTGGATTTTGTGTACTGTTCTGTTTAGTTGTATGTTTTATTATCTTAAAGGGATAGTTCACTTAAAAATCAAAGTTTGTCAGATGTTCTCAGACTTCTAAAGTGGTCTAATCTCAAGATAAATCCACATCCCACACATCCCACACCATATGTAGCTCAATCCCAAATGAATGGGAAAGATTAGCACCATCTAATTAGTTTGAGGGACACAACGAATGGTGTGTGCAATGTGGACTCATCCCAACATACTTGAGGTCTGACCTTTGTCTGAAAACATCTGACAAACTGTGAAGTGAACTATCCCTTTAAATGAGTGTTTTCCATTATGTTCCTGGAGTACCCCCAGGACTGTACATGTATGTTGTAGCTCAGTGTTAGTTCTAGACTAGAACAAAAATGTACAACCTTGGGGTCAAAGTAGGCTACAGATTGTGAAACACTGCTGTAAGTGCTAACTGTAAAGCACTTTGGGTTGCAGCATATTACATGAAAGTTGCTATAAAAGTTAACTTTACTATTATAATTTTTCGGACTTTCCAGGAGCGCATCGTGCTGCAGACGGTGCGGTGGCGGATGCGGGTGGACATTGCCGTGGACCCTGACATGCCCCTGGGCTCCCGGGCCTCCCTAGTATGCCGTCCTCACCAGGAGCAACCCCACATTCTCAACTACCAGGAGCCAATACCCCCCAACGCCCTAGGACAACCCAATGCCAATGATGCCCAAGTGCTGATGTGGAGGCCCCGCAGAGGGGCGCCCCTAGTGGTGATACCGCCCAAATAAGGTTGTAAAGACTGAGAAAGAGCAATGTGATTAGTTCATGGTAATGAGGAAGTGTGGCCCATCGCAGAGGAGGGAAATGATGAGTTCCCTTATCAAAAATGGACTGGACTGCATTGGAATTGACACAGCGGAAGTCTAGAGCTAGACTGGTTTCGGAGGCAGGCTCAGCACTGCATCCGCGTTTGATTGAGTCCGACTGTTTTTGGACGGCCACAGTGCTGTACTAGAGTTCTATCTGCCTTTGGAAAGAAAGGGACAGAGCTATCGGAGTTCCATTGAGGTGGACTGAACACAGAACTGCATCCTGTATCCTACAGTAGACCTTATTGCATGAGAGAGAAAACGGTCTTTGACTGGAATAAGAATAGTATTTTGTATCAGCTGATCACACTTGAATGGAATGGAACTTCTTACATTGGCCATGATATCCTGCAAGCTGGAAAACCTCCTCAGTGCCAATTATGGACATAATGGCCTTTAACATACAACACTTTAAGAACACATTGTTAAGATATTTAATTATAAGAGGCAAAACATATTATATGAATCTTCTGTTAGTTTAAGATCAACTCACATCAATCAGATTGTATTAAGAGCACCTACTTGGCATAAAGTTCTAAAAAGAAATGGGCTAATTGTAGTCTTATTGAAATACGCCATTGTCTATCCACTCACTTTGAAACATAGAAAGGTTAAAGGTGTGGGTTTTCTGGTGTGAGTTGAGTATCTACCTGCACACACATGAATGTCCAATTCTAAATCCAACCTGCTAGCCCCTACCCATATTGCTTATCTATACAATCCTTTCAGATCTACACAAAGTGCCTTCGGTTAGGGGCTAGGGGTTGATTTGGGATTGGGCCATAGCACCACAGTACACTATTATGGCAATAGTCTGGGCTAGCGGGTTCATCCAGAGGAGCCCCTGCCATATGACACAATGTCACATGATTCATGCTCCATCTGTGCTGCTCACCAGTTTCAGTCGTCACCTTCCCATCTGTCTGTCCATTTCTCTCCCTCTCATCACTCCATCATTTTCTCTCTGCATGCCTACAATCCCTCATCTCCACTTCAAGACTATGCAAACACAGAGGGACTGTTGACCGAGAGATATAGAAGGAAACATGATCAGGAAAGACAGGTTGGAGGTAATATTCACAATGATGGCTTTTGTGTTCATATATTATATGAACACAGTTTATGAACTTTTGAATTGGTACCAAACATATTCGGTGATCTGTTGCTATAGAGACTGGTTTGGTTTGTCTAAACTCGGCTCCATAGGAACCAGGATCGCCTTCATTAGAGCACACCGCAGCAAAATGTTTTTCCAACACAAAACGCATTTCTTATTGGACAAGTTCGGGTAGTCCGTCCCTGTTTCCGCCCATTTTGTTCCGTTTGGTGCCTCATGAATATGACCCAGTTGTTGAGAAACATCAAATAATTTATGAACTCTTGCTCATCAATCAGTCCTGCTTTGGGATTTCATACCTAGATGAAATAACATACACAATACTAGCTCTTTCAATACAAAATATCTGTTTAGACCCTTATTTCTCATTTGATCACTTAATTTATTCATTTTATCTTGCATGACAGGCCAGTTTTGCATAAAAACATCAGCAATTGGATGTGTAATTCTTTGGATCTGAATGGCCGGACAATGAGCGGCAAGTTCAAAGCATTCCTTCCTTTAATCTTTTTCCTCCCTGTCCCCAATAAAAGGACATCCTGCATCTCTACAGTCATTGGTCTCAACCACTCCCCTCTGCAGTAAATGTGCTACAGCCCGACGCTCCCACTAGGTGGAGCTGTCACTCAAAAACAAATGAGGGGCGTTAACCTGTGGGGCATTCCATTCATTTAAATATATTCATTCTACAAATTCCTGTTCCCCTACTCCCCAAAATCATGATAAAATATACAAAAATTGAATATTTAAAAAACAGTAACTTTGGCAGTGAATTCTTGGATTCATCCATGAATTCTCGTTGTTCCCTGTAAAGTCATTTTTCCGATGATTCCATGCTTTGTTGAGTTTGGCTCTATCAGCCCTGAGGTGAAAGGTGAGAGGTCACATGTGAGCAGAACCCTTCATATGCCCTGCATAGGCATCATAGTAGCTTCAGCTCCATGACATGGGGGGGGGGGGGGGGGTGACGTGCATACAAGTGTGAACTGTGGAGAAGTCACCTTCATGAGCCTGTTCGATCAAGAACTTGATGGCGTCACTGTGGGAGAGTGTGGTTGCATTATTACCCCCATGCATGTAAAGCGCTTTGAATTTCAATAAGGAGCTTTATAAATGCTAAATCATCATTATCAAATGTTGACCTCCATCTTGACTACTAGTACCAGTATTGGACAGTTAAAACCTTGTCTGTGTTGTTTGTCTCAGTCTTCAGGCGATTCCTATCTGTTGTTGTGTACATTAAACATTTTAGGACTCCTGCCGCCTACATTCCTTTTCCAGGAGTTGTGCTCCTCCTTGACTACACGGACCTTCTCACTAGTGCGGAGCGATTATTGTTTTTTGAGGTCGCTTCGGTTCAATTATTTAAAAAGAATCAAGATATTTTACATTAAATGCACTATGCATTAAATCAAATCTAATTTTATTGGTCACATACAGATATTTAGCAGATATATTACGTGGGTTGAATGCTGTAACACAGAATGTTACAATTAATAAAAGTCCCATGATGGTAGTGACTGCCCATTACTGCTTATCACTTATTAACTATCAGTTATTCACATTACTTTAATAAAATATTTCAGTTGTTGTGTATATTACATTTGTTTTATTTGATGACATTATTTCATTCAAAGTCATCATCTCATCTCTATAGAACTGCTGCTTAAGCGCGCTGACAAAATCACTATTTTAATAGTTCTTCAAAGTAAATAAGGCATACTTTTATGACTGCGGAATACCAATATCTCACGACGCAGCTGCTCTCTTATGTATGCACTCTTGATTGCGCATTCCTCTGTCTCTTCCTAGCAGGCAAAAAAAAAAACAGACCAGACAAGTAGCCGCGCAATGAATTATGGTCTTTGTAGATAATTATCACGTTTTCTATGCTAAACTATGTAGAACATTGGCCTGTTGGAAACTTCAACTCCCTACTACATCGCACAGTTCTTGCATGATCTGATTTATCTCTAGAGAAACTGCAGTGAAATGGAATTCAAATAATTGATCTAAGGTCAGTCAATTAGTTGTTTTAAAATGGAAAAATAACCGACATTTTGGTTAATTGCTCAGCACCACTTCTCAGCAACATATTCCTCCATCCATCTTGCCCTGTGTGTCTCTTCTTTGGAGTTCCAAGGCTGTGGGTGATGGATCTCCCTCTATACTTTGCTACGGTTGATGGCAGGCCTCTTGCCCTCGTAGCTGTAAAGGAAGGTGGCAGCAATGACCAGCACTGCTCCCAGGAAGAACACACTGGGAGAGAGAGAAAGAGGACGTTGTTAGAGCTGTAGGCAGAAATGTATAATCAGGGCGTTTTCACATATGAATTCAGCTCCCTGGTGCAGATGACTTGAACAACTGCTTGTACTCTGGTCCTGGATATTGGATGGGCAGGGAAGGGACCAAGATTGGTTTGGGGCAGGCTTCTCTTTTGTGTTTCACATATGCTTTATAGCACGGATCAGGGTACCAAATGCTCCAGGATCTAGATAATACAGGTCATTTATATGTGAAAACGCCCTTGATGCTTTGTATCGTTTTATATACTTATCTCTCTGTGGAGACGTGAACCTTTTGTCCAAGACCGACCTGGCCAAATTATTTATCAAAGTGTGTGTGTGTGTACCTGGTTGAGTCGAAGTCCTTCAACCAGAAGTAGGATATGAGTGTTGACAGGATGATGGAGAGTGACGTGGCAAAGCCCTTCAGGATGTTGTCTGCATACTTAATGACTGCTGCTATGACCAACCCACCCAGAGCCTGGAAACACAAAGAACACACAGAGGACATGGATTTGATGGAAGACAGAATACACACAACCAGTCACACATAAATGCACACATTTACATAGGCGTTCAAGCATGAACAAACATTCACTTACTTTGCCTCTCTCTTATTTAATTTTCTTTCTCTCTCATACACAACTGTGCACACACACCTAAAGTGAATAGTCAGAATACAGTTGAAGTGGGAAGTTTACATACACCTTAGCCAAATACATTTAAACTCAGTTTTTCACAATTCCTGACATTTCATCCTAGTAAAAATTCCCTGTTTTAGCTCAGTTAGGATCACCACTTTATTTTTAGAATGTGAAATGTCAGAATAATAGTAGGGAGAATGATTTATTTCAGCTTTTATTTCTTTCATCACATTCCCAGTAGGTCAGAAGTTTACATACACTCAATTAGTATTTGGTAGCATTGCCTTTAAATTGTTTAACTTGGGTCAAACGTTTCGGGTAGCCTTCCACAAGCTTCCCACAATAAGTTGGGTGAATTTTGGTCCATTCCTCCTGACAGAGCTGGTGTAACTGAGTCAGGTTTGTAGGCCTCTTTGCTCGCACACACTTTTTCAGTTCTGCCCACACATTTTCTATAGTCAATACCTTGACTTTGTTGTCCTTAAGCCATTTTGCCACAACTTTGGAAGTATGCTTGTCCATTTGGAAGATGAGAGAGGCCTGTAATTATTATTATTTGCAAATTATGGTGGAAAATAAGTATTTGGTCACCTACAAACAAGCAAGATTTCTGGCTCTCACAGACCTGTAACTTCTCTTTAAGAGGCTCCTCTGTCCTCCACTCGTTACCTGTATTAATGGCACCTGTTTGAACTTGTTATCAGTATAAAAGACACCTGTCCACAACCTCAAACAGTCACACTCCAAACTCCACTATGGCCAAGACCAAAGAGCTGTCAAAGGACACCAGAAACAAAATTGTAGACCTGCACCAGGCTGGGAAGACTGAATCTGCAATAGGTAAGCAGCTTGGTTTGAAGAAATCAACTGTGGGAGCAATTATTAGGAAATGGAAGACATACAAGACCACTGATAATCTCCCTCGATCTGGGGCTCATCGCTCTCTTGCAACTCCTTGTGGCGGGCCGGGCGCCTGCAGGCTGACCTCGTCGTCAGTTGAACAGTGTTTCCTCCGACACATTGGTGCGGCTGGCTTCCGGGTTAAGCGGGCGGGTGTTAAGAAGTGCAGTTTGGTGGGTCATGTTTCGGAGGACACATGACTCGACCTTTGCCTCCTGAGCCCGTTGGGGAGTTGCAGCGATGAGACAAGATCGAAAAAGGGGTAAAAAATAAAAGATTCAAGATGCACCTATGTTTAGTGTGGCTCTTGATGAGAGTGTGGATGTGAATGACATTCCACATCTGGCAGTTGTTGCAAGATACTGTGACTCAGAGCAGGTACGTGAGGAGCTGCTTTGTCTAAAACCCTCGCATGGTACTACTAAAGGGGAAGATGTAGCAAAAGCCTTCACAGATCATTTTGAGGAGAGAGGTGTCGATATTAAAAACTGCTACAACTGACGGTGCCCCCGCTATGGTGGGGAAACATAAAGGATTCGCAAAAGCTGCATGAAGACAAGATTGGCCACCTCGTGGTTAAATGTCACTGTATCATTCACCAGGAGAATCTATGTTCCAAGGTCAAGTCCGTGGTGCTAATGGACAGCGCCTCTGTTTAGCGAGTTTGATGGAATTCTTCCTGTTTTTCGGGCAATTAGATATTCAATAGACACAATTAGTTGTAATGCACATATGAAAATCATAACTGGCACACAGATCATTAGAAATGGTAGGATAAATTGTAAATTGTCACTCCACACAAAAAAGGTTGCCGACCCCTGGCCTATGTTATAATAAAATGTATACGCTTTTTGAAACGATAACTTAAGCATATGTACACTACCTGCAGGGCTACAACGGTCCAGGTGATTGAGTTGTAACCTTGGAACATTCCGGACTCCTTCACTCTCTCTCCGTCGTACACAAACACTCCAATTAGACCAAACACCAGGCCAAACAAACCTAGGAGAGGGAAAGAGATCAAATCAAAGTTTATTTGTTACATGCACAGGATACAGCAGGTGTAAACAGTGTAGTGAAATGCTAACTTGCAAGCTCTTCCTCAACAATGCAGTATTCAATATTTAAAAAAAAGATATAGAAAAGTGTCTTTAAAAGAGCATGGAATCAATAATACTAAGTCAGGTAAAATAAACACACACAAAAAATATATATATACACTGCTCAAAAAAATTAAGGGAACAGTTAAACAACACATCCTAGATCTGAATGAATGAAATAATCTTATTAAATACTTTTTTCTTTACATAGTTGAATGTGCTGACAACAAAATCACACAAGAATTATCAATGGAAATCAAATTTATCAACCCCATGGAGGTCTGGATTTGGAGTCACCCTCAAAATTAAAGTGGAAAACCACACTACAGGCTGATCCAACTTTGATGTAATGTCCTTAAAACAAGTCAAAATGAGGCTCAGTAGTGTGTGTGGCCTCCACGTGCCTGTATGACCTCCCTACAACGCCTGGGCATGCTCCTGATGAGGTGGCGGATGGTCTCCTGAGGGATCTCCTCCCAGACCTGGACTAAAGCATCCACCAACTCCTGGACAGTCTGTGGTGCAACGTGGCGTTGGTGGATGGAGCGAGACATGATGTCCCAGATGTGCTCAATTGGATTCAGGACTGGGGAACGGGCGGGCCAGTCCATAGCATCAATGCCTTCCTCTTGCAGGAACTGCTGACACACTCCAGCCACATGAGGTGCATTAGGAGTCTTGCATTGTCTTGCATTAGGAGGAACCCAGGGCCAACCGCACCAGCATATGGTCTCACAAGGGGTCTGAGGATCTCATCTCGGTACCTAATGGCAGTCAGGCTACCTCTGGCGAGCACATGGAGGGCTGTGCGGCCCCCCAAAGAAATGCCACCCCACACCATGACTGACCCACCGCCAAACCGGTCATGCTGGAGGATGTTGCAGGCAGCAGAACGTTCTCCACGGCGTCTCCAGACTCTGTCACATCTGTCACGTGCTCAGTGTGAACCTACTTTCATCTGTGAAGAACACAGGGCGCCAGTGGCGAATTTGCCAATCTTGGTGTTCTCTGGCAAATGCCAAACGTCCTGCACGGTGTTGGGCTGTAAGCACAACCCCCACCTGTGGACGTCGGGCCCTCATACCACCCTCATGGAGTCTGTTTCTGACCGTTTGAGCAGACACATGCACATTTGTGGCCTGCTGGAGGTCATTTTGCAGGGCTCTGGCAGTGCTCCTCCTGCTCCTCCTTGCACAAAGGCGGAGGTAGCGGTCCTGCTGCTGGGTTGTTGCCCTCCTACGGCCTCCTCCACGTCTCCTGATGTACTGGCCTGTCTCCTGGTAGCGCCTCCATGCTCTGGACACTACGCTGACATACACTTGTGTGGGTTGTAGACTCCGTCTCATGCTACCACTAGAGTGAAAGCATTCAAAAGTGACCAAAACATCAGCCAGGAAGCATAGGAACTGAGAAGTGGTCTGTGGTCACCACCTGCAGAACCACTTCTTTATTGGGGGTATCTTGCTAATTGCCTATAATTTCCACCTGTTGTCTATTCCATTTGCACAACAGCATGTGAAATGTATTGTCAATCAGTGTTGCTTTCTAAGTGGACAGTTTGATTTCACAGAAGTGTGATTGACTTGGAGTTACATTGTGTTGTTTAAGTGTTCCCTTTATTTTTTTGAGCAGTGTATATACACACAAGGTCAATACCAGTACCAATATCAATGTGCAGGGATACTGGTGATACTTGAGGTAGTTACAGTATGTAGATGTAATCAGAGGGAGAAGTGACTGAGCAGCAGGATACATATGATAAATAGTAGCAGCAACGTATATGGTGATTGTGTGTGTGCATGTGTAATTGTGTGTGTGTATGTACGTGTGTGAGTGTGTGTGTGTGAGAGTGTCAATACGTGATAGAGAGAGAAAATGAGAGAGAGAGAGAGAGAGAGAGAGAGAGAGAGAGAGAAAGAGAGAGAAATGGGTGAGGTTTTGAGGGAGGATTCTTTAAAATAATTGTTAAGCATTCCATTGTTTGCCATGGTTTATAATTACATGCTTGTATAGTTTATGGTTTAATGAGCTAAGACCAGCATTTTGGCACCAGAACATTGCCTAAGACTTAGTGACAATATCTACTGTTAATAGCTACATGATTTAAATTACAAGGGCTATGGGATGGTGCCTCCAACCTAAAGTTGCTATACTGTTGTGTGAATACATTGGGTTTAAATGAAGTAAATTATTTCATTTTTTACATTTCTGAGGAGCTATAAAACTCACTTGATTACATGGAGACCATTAAATATAATGGTGTGTTCTTTATAGAGAAAGTGGAAAAATATTTACACATACCAAGAGCCAGAAAGACAGTGTGAAGTACAGTTTATGTAGAATTTATCAATGAAACAAACATGCATACACAAAGAGACACACTCAAGGATACACATACACACATACACAGATTCCAGTGATGCTGACCTAACTGGATGTTGCGGACCCACACACTCTGTTTGGTTTCTTTGAGGATCTTCTCAAAGTAGACTCCAGCGAAACCACTGGAGAAGCAGGCTATCAGTACGGCTATCACACCTACTAACTGGGAGCCTGCAGACAGAGGCCTCTGAGATGGCCCACCCATAGACTCTGTAGGCCACTGCAGAGACAAACACACAGTACATCAACAACATTCAGTATGTAACACCCACAAACAAGGATGTGCATGTGGAGTAAGGTTGCAAAATTCTATAAACTTTTCATGGAGATCATGTTACCACTGAATTATGCAAATGATTCTGAAAAAAATGTGAACTTTAGACTTCTACCTCCCTAATGTGGATACACAAAAGTCCATGACTAATCAGAGACAAAAACACATCCAAACAGACCTAAAACCAACCAACTTTCATAGATTTGGTATGAATGAGAAGTTATTGACTTGTGGGGTGTGTTTAGTCTTGTCACCTGTACGAGAGCGATACCAGTCATGAGGATGAGCAGGGAGAGCCACTGGTAGAACCCCAGTCTCTTCCCCAGCATGGACACTGAAAACAGTGCTGTGGTCAGGATCTTCAGCTGGTACGTCACCTGGTTGGGGACAATATCGATTTAAACTCCTGCCAGTCAAAAACTGGACATGAAATGGAGTGTGGAGTCCCTCAGGGCTCCATTCTTGGTCCACTTTTGTTCCCCTTATACATGTTGCCACATACAAGCGCACACGTCACGTCTCTCACCTGGTAGGTAGCAGCATCCAGGTTGGACAGGGCGACATAAAGCAGGTTGTTCTGGAGTGTGTAGATGCCTGATGGGATGGCCAGCTTCAACGTCTCCATGGGCTTATTAAGAATCTCTTCATTCAGCACACGATTCAACGCCCGAACACTGAAGCCTGACAGAAAGAGAAACAAAGATTTAACACTCACACACTGAATCCTAAGAACAAGATAGATAGACAAAGAGACTGTAGTAATATTTTCTTTGTTGTCATTGTTCATCCATTCACTGTGTTACAGACAGACAGAAAGCCGGGCACACGGACAGCCAGACGGACAGCCAGATCGATCACTATACTCACTGTGGTCGTAGAAGACGAGCAGCAGGCAGGTGAGGATCTTGAGCATCTCGGCCGAAACCACGGCTGAGGAGGCTAGGTAGCGGGGCCCCTCGCCCTGCAGCGTGCGCGAGTACCTCATAGTGAGCACCAACGAGGTGGTCTGCAGCACCAGCACACCCAGGGACACATACTTCACCCGCGACTGGGACTGGGAGGCTGGGGGCGACGACATGGAGACGTGGCAGGACGCCTCCCCAGAGCCAGGGGACGAGGCCAAAGGGGACAGCCCTGGCTTAGGCTGTGTGAGACATGGACAGTGAGACAGGCTGGGTTATGCTGCGGGACAGACATACAGGACAGTGAGGAAACAGGCTGGGTTAGGCTGGAAGGCAGATATTTAACACATGCAATCCCTTGATAATTCTAAATAAAAGTTTAGAATTTTCATAGCATTTCGAAAATATTATTTGTTTACGCATTACCAAAAATCTAATTTATGATATAGTGAGTTTAAGACAGTTAGGTGGAATACTACAAAACCGTGTCGTTCATTTTGAGAAGAAGTGCTACCAACTGTTAGGTATGGTTTTGCATCAATATCCAATGAAAAATGTTGCTGAGAAGTCAAACCACCAAATACACATTCGCAGGGAACATTATGCGATTTGAGGCTGATTAACAATCACTTGTATTCCGGCCTTACACAGTTAACACATGCATTAACTGTGCAGGAATCTAACCCACAATAAACATGATGAATGCCAAAAAAGAGCTTGCTATTAGAAATAGAGGGCAGACTATACTGGCTTTTTTTTGCTCTTTCTGCTCTCTTTCCAACTCCTTATGGAATTGTCATGCTATGTTTGGCTTGACAATGACAATGGAGTAGGCAAAAGCACAAACAGACCACATACATACTTTAAGTACCAGTATGCATGGCATGCCAACTCAAACATACATACAGGAAGTACTATAACGTTCAGTCTCATCTGGCCAAAAGCCAAAATACAAAGACAAACAGTAATTCAACTATTAACTAGTGAGAGTCTGAATTTAATCATACAAATACAATGATATTGTTCTGGGCAACTCCACGGTAACAGAATGACACTGAGACTCAGAAGTATGCCAAACAAAAACCATTGATTGCAAAGTTAAACCATACAACTGTATGCACAAGGACTACTTTTATCAATTTCCAGTGATAATTTTACAAAAACACATTTACTCGAAAAAACAGTGCAGATGTAAAGTTTGGTAACAGAATGACGGTCAAATCTCCCTCAGTTTTTAATGTGACCATGTTTTCCAAAACCTTTTACATATCTACTCCAAATTAAGATTGAAAATATGTCTCACAGTATCACAGATCACAGTACAGCACATTACATTTCAGTACAGTAAAGTACAGTACTGTGCTGTCCAAACTTGTGAAACAGATGTCTTTGATTGGTTCAGATTTGGACGGACAAAATTTCAACAACTTTTCCTTTGTCAGTCGGTGCTCAGTGGGTGAGATGGCTGGTTACATTTTTAAAAGGGGTGGGCTCATGGGTAGGTGTCAGTAAGAGCCGGGAGAGGTGACATTAACTGGAGAAAGATAAGAGAGAGACAGGGAGAGAGGGGGGGATTGTCCACACATGACAGAAAGAGAAAGAAAACAGTTATATATGTTATGATACATACAGTGGAACAAAACGTGGTTTGTGATTACTATGAATTCCCATTGTAGCCAATTCAGTCATTCTGTTCCTGATTTTTTGGTCATTCTGTTACCAAATTATCAGTAAAAACACTAACTAATTTACATGTTACTTATGTGAACTTTTCATTATCATATCTTTAAGATATTTTCTCATTTCTATAGGTGAAAAGCTTCAAGTTCCTCAGCGTACACATCACTGACAATCTGAAATGGTACACCCACACAGACAGTGTGGTGAAGGCGCAACAGCGCCTCTTCAACCTCAGGAGGCTAAAGAAATGTGTCTTGGCCCCTAAGACCCTCACAAACTTTTACAGATGCAGAATTGAGAGCATCCTGTCAGGCTGTATCACTGCCTGGTATGGCAACTGCACCGCCCGCATCCGCAGGGCTCTCCAGAGGGTGATGAGGTCTGCCCAACGCATCACCGGGGGCACACTGCCTGCCCTCCAGGACACCTACAGCACCAGATGTCACAGGAAGGCCAAAAAGATCATCAAGGACATCAACCACCCGAGCCACGGCCTGTTCACCCCACTATCATCCAGAAGGCAAGGTCAGTACAGGTGCATCAAAGCTGGGACCAAGAGACTGAAAAACAGCTTCTATCTCAAGGCCATCAGACTGTTAAATAGCCATCACTAGCCGGCTACCACTCAGTTACTCAAACCTGCACCTTAGAGGCTGCTGTCCTATATACATAGAATCACTGGCCACTTTAATAATGGAACAATAGTCACTTTAATAATGTTTACATACTGCTTTACTCATCTCAAAAAAATCCACAAAAACACATGTCAAAAATGTTATGAATTGATTTGCATTTTAATGAGGGAAATAAGTATTTGACCCTCTGCAAAACATGACTTAGTACTTGGTGGCAAAACCCTTGTTGGAAATCACAGAGGTCAGACGTTTCTTGTAGTTGGCCACCAGGTTTGCACACATCTCAGGAGGGATTTTGTCCCACTCCTCTTTGCAGATCTTCTCCAAGTCATTAAGGTTTCGAGGCTGACCTTTGCTCGTCCTAATATTTACAGTGCCTTCGGAAAGTATTCACATTTTGTTACGTTACAGCCTTATTCTAAAATTGACTAAATAAAACATTTTCCTCAGCAATCGACACACAATACCCCATAATGACAAAGAGAAAACAGGTTTTTAGACATTTTAGCAAATGTTTCCATTGATCATCCTTGAGATGTTTCTACAACTTGATTGGAGTCCACCTGTGGTAAATTCAATTGATTGGACATGATTTGGAAAGGCACACACCTGTCTATATAAGGTCCCACAGTTGACAGTGCATGTCAGAGCAAAAACCAAGCCATGAGGTTGAAGGAATTGTCCGTAGAGCGCCGAGACAGGATTGTGTCGAGGCACAGATTTCTGCAGCATTGAAGGTCCCCAAGAAAACAGTGGCCTCCATCATTTTTAAATGGAAGAAGTTTGGAACCACCAACGCTCTTCCTAGAGCTGGCCGCCCTGCCAAACTGAGCAATCGGGGGAGAAGGGCTTTGATCAGGGAGGTGACCAAGAACCCGATGGTCACTCTGACAGATCTTTAGAGTTCCTCTCTGGAGATGGGAGAAACTTCCAGAAGGACAACCATCTCTGCAGCACTCCACCAATCAGGCCTTTATGGTAGAGTGACCAGACGGAAGCCAGTCCTCAGTAAAAGGCACATGACAGCCCGCTTGGAGTTGCCACAAGGCACCTAAAAAACTCTCAGATCATGAGAAACAAGATTATCTGGTCTGATTACATTTACATTTTAGTCATTTAGCAGACGCTCTTATCCAGAGCGACTTACAGTTAGTGAATACATATTTTTTTTAATAATTTTTTTTATACTGGCCCCCCGTGGGAATCGAACCCACAACCCTGGCGTTGCAAACGCCATGCTCTATCAACTGAGCTACATCCCTGCCGGCCATTCCCTCTCCTACCTGGGGGCCAACGCTGGGCCAATTGTGCGCCGCCCATGAGTCTCCCGGTCGCGGCCGGCTGCGACAGAGCCTGGATTCGAACCAGGATCTCTAGTGGCACAGTTAGCACTGCGATGCAGTGCCTTAGACCACTGCGCCACTCAGGAGTGTACTGATGAAACCAATATTGAACTCTTTGGCCTGAATGCCAAGCATCACATCTGGAGGAAACCTGGCAGCATCCCTACGGTGAAGCATGGTGGTGGCGGCATCATGCTGTGGGGATGTTTTTCATTGGCAGGGACTGGGAGACTAGTCAGGATCGACGCAAAGATGAACGGAGCAAAGTACAGAGAGAACCTTGATGAAAACCTGCTCAGGACCTCAGACTGGGGTGAAGGTTCACCTTCCAACAGGACAACGACCCTAAGCACACTGCCAAGACAAAGCAGGAGTGGCTTCGGGACAAGTCTCTGAATGTCCTAGAGTGGCCCAGCCAGAGCCCGGACTTGAACCCGATCGAACATCTCTGGAGAGACCTGAAAATAGCTGTGCAGCAACACTCTCCATCCAACCTGACAGAGCTTGAATGGGAAAAACTCCCCAAATACAGGTGTGCCAAGCTTGTAGCGTCATACCCAGGAAGACTCGAGGCTGTAATCGCTGCTAAAGGTGCTTCAACAAAGTACAGGGTCTGAATACTTATAGAAATAGATATTTCCGGGGGTTTTTATTTGTAATTAATTTGCAGAAATTTCTAAAAACCTATGTTTTGCTTTGTCATTATGGGGTATTGTGTGTAGATTGATGAGGGGGGAAAAAAACAATTTAATCAATTTTAGAATAAGGCTGTAACATAACAAAATGTGGAAAAAGTCAAGGCATCTGAATACTTTCCGAAGGCACTGTATATATTTCTTAATTCCATTATTTTACTTTTAGATGTGTGTATTGTTGTGAATTGTTAGATACTACTACACTGTTGGAGCTAGGAACACAAGCATTTCGCTACACCCGCAATAACATCTGCTAAATATGTGTATGTGACCAATAAAATTGGATTTTATTTTAATTTCTGCAAAACTAAATAGGGGTATTTACTTCAACATTATTGTGTTTAATGAATTTCTAATACCTTTTAAGACTTTTTCTGCTAGATGTTTTCTAAGACCCCTTTACCATCTCTTTGACCAGAAACCAAAGGCTTAGCTTATTCCTATGGAAAATGATTGAACAGTTTATATATGCCTTAATTTATCAAAAATATAGACTCAGCTTTCATTTGAAACCAAATTTGATGTGCTCCTATGAACTTCACATGCTAGTGCTCATGGGGCTTTTTACATGAAAATGCCCTACATTATCCTACATTTTATGGATGTGTGCATACCACCCTTTTCATACAAATACAAGGGTTGGGCGATATCCAGATTGACATACCTTCATACCGCCCCTGTACCATACCGAGGTATATGGTATTACAGACACAAGGGGCGTTATTTATTTCCAAATGTAATTTTATCTGTAGGAAAATACATTTTTTTTTTTTTATGATTTGACCCACAAAACAAATTTAGACAACAGGGATCGCGATCCAGGAGGGGATTGATGGTCTCTGCTGTAACCAAGAAGCTTAAACGACTACCCCATCTCTGTACCCCACACATACAATTATCTGTAAGGTCCCTCAATTGAGCAGTGAATTTCAAGCACAGATTCAAGACCAGGGAGGTTTTCCAATGGTTCGCAAAGAAGGGTACCTATTGGTAGATGATTTTGGGGGGAAATATCCCTTTGAGCATGGTGAAGTTATTAATTACACTTTGGATGGTGTATCAATACACCCAGTCACTACAAAGATACAGGCGCCCTTCCTAACTCAGTTGACTGAGAGGAAGTAAACTGCTCAGGGATTTCACCATGAGGCCAATGGGGATTTTAAAACAGTTACAGAGTTTGTTTGTCTAGCAATGATCAACAACCAACTTGACAGAGCGTGAATAATTTTTTTAAGAATAATGGGCAATCCAGGTGTGCAAAGACTTACCCAGAAAGACTCACAGCTATAATCGCTGCCAAGGGGATTCTAACATGTATTGATTCAGAGTTGAATACTTATCTAATCAAGATATTAGTGTTTTATTTTATTTTAATAAAAATAAAAATTCTCTTCCACTTTTATATAGTATTTTATGTAGATCGTTGACAAAAAATGACAAAGAAATCTATTTTATTCCCACTTTGTAACACAACAAGGGGGCCAGTATATATAAAAAATATATATATATATGTATTCACTAACTGTAAGTCGCTCGGGATAAGAGCGTCTGCTAAATGACTAAAATGTAATGTAAAACAACAACATTTGGAAAAAGTCAAGGGGTGTGATTACTTTTTTATGGTATTGAAAATCATTTCAGCGGTATTTCAAATTACCCCTTTATACGGTATATAGGGTATACCGCCCAAGCCTACTGACCATGCCACCAACAGAAATCCAGATAACATCACCATGACGTGACTAGCTTATGTCTAAAATGGAAATGGCCACAGAAACATACTAGCCTCTGTCTGAAATAGAAATCCCTATATTGACTACCATGCCTAAACTGAACTTCATGCACACACCAACCAATACCTACAAGAAAAGACCACAATGTGCTTCATTCACTAACATGCCTAAAGCATGAAACACACTGAGAACCTCACTGCCGATAGGTACTTATTAGTGGTGCGCGGGTCAGCTGTTTGTTCACCCTCACCCGCCCGCATTTACTAATAACCCATCTGCAACCGCCCGACTATATGTGATAGTGAAAATCTAACCCTAACCCGCAAATATAGAAAATGTGCCATAGGCTACAGTCAAAGACTGTAGAAAAAAATGTTGACAGGAAGTGCAGGATTTTTTTGTTGTTGCCTGATTTAGATATGTTTCTGCTTATAATTTCCGACATTTTGGTCGGCTATTTGTTAGTCAAATAGATACATGTAGCTTCTCTTCTGTCATTATATGTTGCCCTAGAAGACTAAATAACCCCTTCCTCAACAGAATAATGTAATAGATAGTTGACATCGGTAAAGGTCTCTGTCATCTTTCGCAAAGCAACGAAGTTTAGGGACTGGGGAGAAAATACAATAAAAATAAATAAAAAATTAAACGGGAAAGATTTGATGTGCAAAATGTCCAGATGACATCAAAGCTGTGAAAACGACCCAACATGTTTCTGATAAGATTTCAGAATCGCAATGCTCGTCATTGGCCAACAACTTGCCTTTGAGCCAATCAGACAGCATGAACCCCCACGAGGGGGAGCCACAGAAGTGACAACAAAAAGGAAAAGAAGAGGGCATTTTCTCCGTACATCTACAGTTAAATGTCATGAGACATTCACACTTCATATGCAATGTAGGCTATGGGATGGTAGCTAGCTAAGTGCACAGACGCAATGCACACAACACTAAATACTTCTCCCAAGTTAGCTAATCACTGTAGCTAGTATTGACATTGTTAAATCAGAATTAGTTAGTTTCCATTAAACGGCTGCCTATGTTAGCTGCCAAGTTAGTGCAGTGTCCATAGCTAGCTAGCTATGTTGTGCTAGCTAGCGAATATGCTAACGCTAGCTAGCTAAGTATTTCGCTATCGGCTGGCAATATGGGATTATGGGCAGTGAATTAAATCGTTTATTTGTCATCTTGATAGATAGTCATCTAGCTGTGGCCATCTGGCTAGTATCAATAAGGTCTTTCTACAAAATAGCAACATTAGCACAGCTAGCTAACATTAGTGATGGGGGGGAAAAAATCGATACAGTTAAATATCGGGATATTATTTTTGACGATATATCGGATCAACAATATCGCAATATTATTTTTGCGCTAGTTGGCTGTACCTGCACCAAAAGTCCAGTATTTGTCCTTCAAAGCTTGTTCTCCATCTTCTTTTTAAATAGGGAGCCAATTTGTTTTCAGCACTTATTTCAATTACTTATGATCAAAACACATTTTCTCATGGCTGTCTCTTGTCCCTCTGCAGCAGACATTTGGTGAGCAATATGTTTGGAACATCGAATCGCAATACATATAGTATCGGCACCTAAGTATCGTAATAATATCGTATCTTGAGATCCCTGGCAATTCCCAGCCATAGCTAACATTATAATCTAGAACATAAGCAACACACAGACTTGCATTGCCAAACAAAGCTACTGCCACCTTCTAGTTTGGAATATTTGAACAAGGCTGAGTGGCTGACAACTTCAAAATCTTGGCTGTGTAAACACAAAAGAGATCGACTGCCGACACTCCTCTGTTCAGAGGTGCTAAGTAGTGTTGGCAGGCAAATGTTTGACAATTCTACCGGTGTGTCTGAGCTATAACTTATCCCACAAAAACCTCCCCAAACCTTTCCTGAGCAACTCATAACCTTAGGCTACTGTGGACCCCACCTAGGAACATCCTCTCCCGAGCTAATCCCTCAACCCCCTTCCCTTCCCTACCCTCCCCCCAATCAATAAAACAAGACAAACCATAGCAGGACGGCTGAGGAGGCAACGTGGCTGCTGGAGGTAAAATCAGCTGTGTCACCTTGGCCAGATTTGAGGAGAGGAGAGAGGCAGGCTGCCACTCCTTCCCATGTGCTAGTGCTCAGTGACTGGTGAGCCGGATGGGAGAAGGATATTGTGATGTTGCAAGAGCTAGGTCAAAATCCTGGCAGGGCACAGCCCCGGTCGTTGACTGTAAATTGTTTACGCTTGCTGACTGGGCCAGCAGTAAGCTCAAATTTACAGGCAGGCACCGTTTTTTAACTCAATAGCCCATAGTCCTAGTTTATTCAGGCTCCCCTGTCTGAGCCCACCACTACAATGTCACCAAGCAATATTGTCAGGCTTTGGGTTTCTTTTGAGTGCCTTCAAGGGACATAATTTCAAGAGCAAAATGTGATGCTCTAATGAAGATTGACTGACCGAAAGCTTAGCAACTATTAAAATAAATGTGCATCTGACTGGAAGTGTGCAGAGAATTTGATGTTTTTCCGGTTTTGCATTTTCCCAACAGCACCTTCACAAATCAGATTTGGGTTTGTGGTAGATTTTGCCTATTGAGGGCAAAAATGTTACCACTGATACACTACATGGCCAAAGGTATGAGGACCCCTGCTCGTCGAACATCTCATTCCAAAATCATGGGCATTAATATGGAGTTGGTCCCCCCTTTGCTGCTATAACAGCCTCCAGTCTTCTGGGGAGGCTTTCCACTAGATGTTGGAACATTGCTGAGGTCAGGCACTGATGTTGGGCGATTAGGCCTGGCTCGCAGTCGGTGTTCCAATTTATCCCAAAGGTGTTTGATGAGGTCAGGGCTCTGTGCAGGCCAGTCAAGTTCTTCCACACCGATCTCGACAAACCATTTCTGTATGGACCTTGCTTTGTGCACGGGGGCATTGTCATTCTGAAACAGGAAAAGTCCTTCCCAAAACTGTTGCCACAAAGTTGGAAGCACAGAATCGTCGAGAATGTCATTGTATGCTTTAGCGTTATTTCCCTTCACTGGAACTAAGGGGGCCTAGCCCGAACCATTATTCCTCCTCCACCAACCTTTACAGTTGGCACTATGCATTGGGGCAGGTAGCGTTCTCCTGGCATCCGCCAAACCCAGATTCATCCGTCGGACTGCCAGATTGTGAAGAGTGATTAATCACTCCAGAGAACACGTTTCCACTGCTCCAGAGTCCAACGGCGGCAAGTTTTACACCACTCCAGGTGTAAGGTGGCATCCTATGCCGGTGCCACGTTGAAAAAGTCACTGAGCTCTTCAGTACAGGACATTCTACTGCCAATGTTTGTCTATGGAGATTGCATGGCTGTGTGCTCAATTTTTATACCCTTGTCAGCAATGGGTGTGGCTGAAATGGCCAAATCCACTAATTTGAAGGCATGTCCACATACTTTTGGCCATGTAGTGTATATGCAAATGATATAAATGAGTGTCCAACTATTTGTAAATCATTTCAGTTAAGTCTCAGTCTCACTCTCAGTAAGCTCAGTTATGTGTAGGCTAAGTCATCTCCAGTTTAACGGCACACAACAGCCACTGGAACTTCATCTTGGAGAGTAACTGCAATTTCATTAAGTAAATATTAGTTAGGTCTACTTTGTAGCATAAAAAAGGAAAATAAATGTGTACATGCTCTAATATTAGTGAGTAGGTAACGTAGGTGCAGGGAGCAAGTCAGGCTAACGGTGAGAGAGCAGAGCAGAGTGGTGACGAAGCAACGACACAGTGGCCTCATTATGTACACTCTCCAGCTGCTGCTAGTGGGGAGTGGCCACATAATCCCTCTCTGTGTGTGTATATACCGGGAAGGGGAGGGGGTGAAGGGATGTCAGAGCACCGGGTAGCAAGCATACCGACCTTCACACACGCGTGCACACACACACACGCAGTCATGAAAACACACAAACTGCTCTGCCTTCTTAGAAACTAGACCTGGGTTCAAATACTATTTCAATTACTTTCACAAACATTTTGAAGTACACTGCATTCGGAAAGTTACATGTTATTACACTGTAACTATGAGTTGTTTCAGTTAACTACAATACTTGTTACAGTGTAATTAAGGGCCGCTTAAAAGGATATGTAACCAATTATTATAACTCATTGCATTTATTTGACTATAATCAGATGATGACAATACAATTGTTTTTGGCTCAATATAATTACTCTTGTAGAATTGGGAAGCAAACCAGCTTAGAATAAGAGTATTCAAGGACAAGAGTTAACAATAAAATCCATCACAAATATGACTCCCACCAGAAAACCACTGTACACAACAGATGAAAAGATGGTTTGACTGACATTACTTCTCTGCAACGTGTGTTAACATGCTCAACACCATTGTTATTGATGGCTGTGACCCTAAGTTAGAATTTAACCCTAGAGGCCACAATAGTCTTTAAGCAAACTGGCAACAGGCCCCAATGGCATCTCTGCTTTATGTTGAAGAACTTACACCAGCCTGGGTCCCCTGTCTTTCAGAGGTCTGTACATTCCCAATCATCAACCATCTTCCCCAAAAGCCTTCGATCTCCCAAAGAAAACGAAGACTGTAGACCTGTTGCTCTGACCTCCATTGTAATGAAGTGTCTTGAAAATATCATGGTGTGTAAGCTTCAGTCAGACTAAACACACCGTTGGTCCCATATCAGTTTACTTCCAAATACAAACGTGGCACTGATGAAGCAATCCTCAGCATAGTGCATCTCATCCTGCAACATCTGGAGAACCTCAAGGCCTATGCTCGACTGCTATTTGTGGATTTTAGTTCAGCATTTCACATCTTGCAGCCACACATCCTCCTCAGTAAGCTCAGACAGATGTCAGTCAAACCCTTCACCATCAGGTGGTATCACTCATTTCTGACTGATTGGACCCAGCAGGTCAGAGTAAATGAGACACTGTGTGAGCCCAATGTCATTAAGGTGCCCCCCCAAGACTGAGAGTTCACCCATCCTATTCACACTGTATACAAATTAATGTACAAGTAGAAACCCTGACAACTATTTGTCCAGTTTTCTGATGATACTGGCAGTCTGGGTCTAATGTATAGACACTGAAATCACTGTGTATAGATCAGAGATACAGAGGTTTGTGCAGTGGTCAAGCAAACGGAGGAAATAGTTTTTGACCCCAAATCTGTTGGTGACCCCTCACCTGTGGTGGTCCATAATGTGGACATTAGTCAGGTCCACTCTTACAATTGCTCTAGGGTCCAACAACACCTTTATTTTCTACATACAGTTGAAGTCGGAAGTGTACATATACCTTAGCCAAATACATTTAAACTCAGTTTTTCACAATTCCTGACATTTAATCCTAGTAAACATTCCCTGTCTTAGGTCAGTTAGGATCACCACTTTATTTTAAGAATGTGAAATGTCAGAATAATAGTAGAGAGAATGATTTATTTCAGCTTTTATTTCTTTCATCACATTCCCAGTGGGTCAGAAGTTTACATACACTCAATTAGTATTTGGTAGCATTGCCTTTAAATTGTTTAACTTGGGTCAAACGTTCCGGGTAGCCTTCCACAAGCTTCCCACAATAAGTTGGGTGAATATTAGCCCATTCCTCCTGACAGAGCTGGTGTTACTGAGTCAGGTTTTTTAGGCCTCCTTGCTCGCACACGCTTTTTCAGTTCTGCCCACACATTTTCTATAGGATTGAGGTCAGGGCTTTGTGATGGCCACTCCAATACCTTGACTTTGTTGTCCTTAAGCCATTTTGCCACAACTTTGGAAGTATGCTTGGGGTCATTGTCCATTTGGAAGACCCATTTTGGCTAAGGTGTATGTAAACTTCCGACTTCAACTGTATATATATATATATATATATATATATTTGATTAAATCATCTGTGATTTGGTGGGTTATGTATGATTTGGTGGGTGTGGCGCGCGAAATCGGACGGAGTCAGGCGCAGAAGGGTAAATTAGGAACACAGCGTAATACACTCCAGTGCGGTAAATACGGCGCACTGGAGAAAACAAGGCACACTGGTGAATATCCCGGCGATACAAATACAAAGTAGCTCCACCAAGCTATAATACCTCCACAATAAACAAGACAAAACAAATGGAATGATGAGATGAGGAGCAGCAGTGGCTAGAAGGCCGGTGACGACGAACGCCAAAGCCTGGGGAGGCAGCTTCGGAGGAAGTCGTGACAGTACCCCCCCCCCCCCCCCTTTGATGCGCAGCTCCAGCAGCGCGCCAACACCGGCATCGGGGACGGCCAGGAGGACGCGGAGCAGGGCGAGCCGGATGGTGACAGTGGAAATCCTGCAACAGGGAGGGATCGAGGATATCCCTCACCGGGACCCAGCACCGCTCCGCGCCCTCCTGGACGTCCCCGAGGCCGGTGTCGGCGCACTGCTGGAGCTGCGCGTCAAGGTATGTAGGACAGTGTAAAATCAAACCGTGTGAAGAACAGGGCCCACCTGGCCTGGCGAGGGTTCAGCCTCCTCGCTGCCCGGATGTACTCCAGGTTACGGTGGTCAGTCCAGATGAGGAAAGGGTGTTTCGCCCCTTCGAGCCAGTGCCTCAACAAGGTCAGGGCTCTGACAACAGCCAACAGCACCTGATCACCAACATCGTAGTTCTGCTCCACTGGGCTGAGCTTCTTGGAGAAGAAGGCATAGGGGCGGAGCTTGGTTGGTGCGCACAGGCATTGTGATAGGACAGCGCCTATCCCTACCTCGGATGCATCCACCTCCACTACGAACGGTAATGATGGATCGGGATGGGCCAGCACCGGGGCTGAGGTGAACAGAGCCCTCAGGTTACTGAAAGCCCTGTCAGCCTCAGCAGAGCCTGGATGGCCCACCCTTCAACAGAGAGGTGATGGGAGCTGCGACCTTGCCAAAGCCCCGGATAAACCTCAGATAGTAATTGGCAAAGCCAATAAAGTGCTGCACCTCCTTTACCATGGTTGGAGTCGGCCAATTACGCACGGCTGAAATGCGGTCTCCCTCCATCTCCACACCTGAAGTGGTGATGTGGTATTCGAGGAAGGAGACGGACAGTTGGAAAAACAGACACTTTTCTGCCTTGACATAAAGGTCATGTTCCAACAGTCGGCCCAGCACTTTGCGAACCAGGGACA